CCGTCTGTTCTCAGGGGGACCACGCGTGCGCTAGAGATCTGCAAGGTCCTCGAGTTCTCGCTGAAATGGGGCCCGCTTCATACCCGCACAGTGGTCGCATCGTTACCGAGATTTATAGACAATTTCCCGATTTCGCGATCCACCTGAACAAGGCTCGTTCTAACAACGACGACGTCGCACCCACGCGACGATGGTACTCGAACGTCGTGTTATCGCTCGACGTTCAAAGTAAATTAGACCAGGAAGCAGCACCGATCGCCGATTTCGAGATCCCGTATTTCGAGGAAGCTTCGTCAAGAAACGCGGAGAACATTGCCGCGACGGTGAAGAGTAACTCGATGGCGGAGAAAACGGACAGGAAGAACCGTACGAGAAGAAAGGACGCGAGACAACTAAAGATAACGTCGTCGGAGCAAACAGTGAAGAGGAGATTGCTGAAAGACACCGAGAATCGAACGCAGACGATGCAGAAATCCGACAAAACGCAGAGGAGGAACGAAGCGAGAAGGTGCAACGAATCGAAGATCGTGGAGAGAACGATGATTAAAATCGACGCGCGATCGCGTAACACAGGCAAGTCGAAGAACTGGACGATTCCAGCCGCGTTGTCGGACAAGAAGCCTAAGAAGCTGTACGGTCTGGTTCGACAGAGACGCAAACCTCTCACGAGCTTCTTCTACAGATTCTTCGACATTCAGAGCGGCGAACCGGTGGACGATTGTTGCAGCAGCAAGATCGACAGGCTTAACACCGCTGCGAATCAAAAGCTAGTCAAGGAATCAAATATCGAGGACAAGTCTCGCGAGAAGAGATCGAACGTCTCGACTTCGGTAAGCGATTTGACTGCTGATTTGCCAGAAGGAGTTACGAGTACGGATAACGCGAAACGTCTCGGGCAAACGGAGAACTCGATGACGACCGAACGATCGGGCGAAAATTGTGGCTGCGAGGTAAACGAGGACAGGGCAACGACGTCGAGTCACAGCGAGTCGGAGAACGACACGAGCGAAGGGAGCGAGTCGCAGACGAGCGAAAAAGCGCGAAAGATGTCGCCTGAAATCGCCCTGTTTCTGGAAAACCTGAATCTCAACAGACGAAGATCGCGGTCGGTGTCGAGTCTAACATCGTACAATCTCGAGTTCCTGTTCACCAACTTGGAGCCGACGATCCCAATTTCGAACCAGCCCGGTGCCGCTTCTTTCTTCTTCTCGTCCAGCAACAACGACTGCAAGCCCTCGATAAAAGAGAAACTACTGAGGAAAGCGTTCGGCAAAATGAAGGACAGAAGGAAGGATGAAATTTGCAAGCGGAGGGAATGCGAAACGGAGGAAGCGAGCAAGAGCTGCGGCAAGAAGAGAGAGGAGGCGCCATCGTGCGGGAAACGGGACAAGAAGAAACAGCCAAGATGTGGCGAGTCCGACGAAGATCCCTGCAAACCGTACAGATCGGAGGAAAGGCATGGGCCAACGTGCAAGAAGTACGAGGAGGAGCCAATGACGTACGATCCCTGCGACAAGTTCTGGGACGATAGCATCCACGGGCCACGGTGCAAGAAGCCACGGAAGAAGAAGACTGACACGTGTTACCAGAAAAAGGAGAAGAGCTGCGACACGAAGACGAGGAAGAAGTCGAAGAAATGTGAGAAAAGCAAGTGCCCGTCGGTGACTCGGGCACCAGGATGTTCTCAGGATGGTGAAAGTGGATAAGGTTCTTGTCGAAGATACTGCTCGTTCGTTGGGAAAATTCACGCGAACGAATAAACTAAATTGATTCGAAGTTGATACATCAAAAACAGACGAAATCGAACGCAGAATGTAATTGAAGAGAGAAAACGAAAAAAGTTGGCCTTCTCAACTTTGATGCGAGTCGCTTTTTTTTTT